GTTTTTAATTTTTTGGTATGAAATTTCGAAATTCTAAAGAAAAATAAAAACAATATAATTGTACCGAAAGATCATATCCTCTTGATCACATATGCTAAAATTGAAAGAAAATTACAAAAAATGTTTGCCTACATTTAGGCGCAAATATAATGAAACCAATAAAAATATAGTTAAACACAAAATGAAACTAAATTTGAAAATTATGAACTTAATAGAAAAAAACGCTATTTATTTAATAGGAAAGAGCAGAAATGCCAATACAGACACGACTCACTTCACATCGATAATAATGTATGTATTTAATGGTTTCTTACACATTCCCGTTTTCAAATTTCAAAATAAGCCTCCCTAAGTACATATATTTATTTCTGTTTGCATGCGTGCGAATATATGCTCGCGGTGTTCATAAATAAATATAACGGCTATATCAAATTAACAAAACACATTTGTATAACAAAAAAGCAGGGAAATTTGTGACAACATAAAGATAATTCTTAAAGCGATTTGCGCCTTACGACTTCATTTTCGTACTTAACGCAAACAGTGGCAACACAAGTTTCGACAACGTATAAAGGGCGGCAAAGGCAGACGCACAATGTAAAGGGAATTTTTAAAGAAAATTCGTTACTGCCATCAGCTTATCAGCACATTTTATGATTTGCGTTATTTTTGCAACATTTGGCTTTTGTTGTACTCTAAAAGCAAACAAAAGCAGACAGTTGGGCTGCTGTGCTGCATATAATATGTATGTATGTATAAGTTCATTGTGCGGCAAGGAATTTTAACGGAAAGTCAAAAGGAAATTGCCGAGAAAATGAAAGCGGAAAGAGTGTAGCTGTGTCATATGTATGTGTATGTGTGTCTTTGCTGCGCGCGCGCCAAAATACGCCAAATGTCTGCTGCGCTGAAAATTGAAATGTAACAAGGAAAGCGAAATTATTAGTGGCTCCCATTTATTTGCGTTATTTCCGAGAGCGCTATCAGCGACGGCCCAGCACAAAGACAACGGCGACAGTAGACAATTCATCATAATATAAATGTAACAGAAACGCTGTAGACATGACAACGAAGCCCGGCCAGGAGGCGGCGCAGGCAAAGTGCTGCGATGGAAAACCGACAAAATACTGCTAGTCAAGCAGATAGTAAGCTCACTCAGTCAGGCAGTCAGCCGGAGCGCACGCCATTGTTTGCGGCCGTGAGCAATGTGCGCGAGCAAGCTTGAAGGTCGAAGCTGGCATAATTCGTGATCACAAATTACTATATGTGTGTGCGTATGAAGCATACTTTCAGGTGTTGAGCCATGGTATTTTAATGTGAGCATATATACAAGTACTTCAAGCTTGTGCGTGTGAGCGTACACGGGGTTTTATTTTACACATTTTACAAGTCGTGTAGAGATTTGAAAGTTTTCAATTAAAGCAGCGAAACTTACCAGGGCACTTGCAGAGACGATGTTAAACACTAATGCGCACTCACACATATGCGAAATTCGTTCAACTGTTTGCGYGTTATGCGTGAATTTGCAAACAACCATAAGACACAGCACAAAAACTTGGCACTTACCTGAAATGAAAGAAAGTTGTAGACAGAATTTAGAAATGTTGTATTTGCTATCAAATTAATTATAAAAGCTATTAGAACTAATTTTAGAATCACATAAAGAACTGGCGGATATTATCTTTAATATATTATTTTTTAACTAAACATGTCAAAAATATATATTATTGACGAAGTAAAAGCATTTAAAAGAAAGTATAGAAAATCATTGCATACTCTTAGGTTTCATATACAATATATTTATTTATAGTTTCCTTTCCATTCTTTAATGTTTGCGGATTTTGCCTCAACATATTACGCTTTACTTTTATACCAAAAATATTGAAGCAATTTATAAAAACAATATTTTTTTTTTTAATTTTAATTCTTTCACTATTGACTATTTGAAGGCTTTTCTGGTACTTTACTTCAAGCTATCAAAGCATATATGGCACCAAACAAACTTGCCATTAGTAACCGCTCCTATGAACGCATGACTTATGCGCCTAAAAGCTAGCTAAAACTTTGGATTTCTTAGATGCCTGACTCAATTGAAAGTGGAACACGCTCTAGATAAGCAACATGTACATACATACATATGYGAGCAGCCTATTGAGAGCTGGTTCTGTATGCACATACAAACATACTTGTATGCATCACCCACTTGCATTTATTATGTTTTCGTTTGTTGTGCTAAACGCAACAAAGTTTGAAGTAAACTCTTTTTTTGCTAGCTTCGTTGTTGTAATTTACCATGCAAGTTGTTTGTTTGGTCACTTACCTTTTTTTTTTTTTGTTTTTAGTTTCCTTTTTAGTGGTTTTGTTGGCATTTAGCTGGTGCAACCGCAACCGCAAATGTGCATTTTAAAATTCATTAAGCGTAGCGCACACATACATGCTTACGGTACATTTACATAGTTATTTACATTGTATATGTAAACAATATGCGCTTAATTTAAAACGTTTTTATGTGGCAAATGCAAAASTTGGTACATATACATACATTTAGTAATATGTTCATATTTATATTTATGCAGAAGTGCGCCGAATGTGTATTCAGTCATGCATACATGCCATATATTCACACATGTATAAGTTATTATATGCGCATTGTTGGTGTAAAATAGAAATAGAAATGAAGTGATTGAATAATAAATGGAAAGTTTTCAAGCTTTTAAGGAAATTACACCTGCTTGCTGGCTTCAAATTATTTCCAAAAATAATTATGGAAAATTTCCAAAGCAGTGAACTTGCTTTATTACTCAATTACTATTTAATGAATAGTTGTTTTGTTTATGGAATATTAATATGTACATTGCAAGTTTCTTCCATTTAAACATTTTAACAATTGTTTACACTTAGAAATTTCGCCTCACCATATTGTTTCAGAATTATTAAWATCGTTAAAAAATAAAAACCAAACTATTATGTTTATTTGAGTTGTTAAAGTTTTTTTTTCAAGTTATTCCAATTTAGAAATTTAAAAAAAAATTTCGATTAATCTCGAAATTTCTTAATTTTATTTCCATTTTTATATTAAATTGCTGCAGAAACGTACTATGAAAATTATTATAATAGCATAACGAATCTCGAACATTTATTTTCAACTTCGAGATTGGTTTTCCTRTTAGAATAATTTTCAAAGTGCATTTCTGGAAATGGGTTTTTTTTTATAAAAAATCAGTATTTTTTTTGATTAGGTTGAAACTAATTTCTAACTCTCACCCTATATATTGTATATCAAGACACAGAGCACTAAGTGRCAGCCGTCAGAAGTTCAGAAAGAAATTGTAATGTAAAAGTCAAAAATTATTAAACGTCAAAAAAGGTGGGAAGGAAAATAATATAATACTAATATAAATATAATAAATATTTTGTAAACTTGAAAGAAAAAGAAACATAATTAAAACAAAAATCCATTAGGATTTCATGGTTTTTCCAGTTTAACCAAAAATATTATAGGGTAATGACTGAAATGAAAAATGAACACAAATCCCAGTAAGGTAGCGTTGGGTAGAAAAACTTAGGCTTATCACTTACTGAAAGAGAAACTTGAACTGTTTAAGCGAACACACGGATTATCACATTGAAGCTTACCACACGTATATAGAACATACGCAGGGCACACATGTACATACGTATATACGAAACCTTTCGTTCAGTGGGAAATTGCGTAAATTACCATAAAACCAAAATGCACAATCGGGTAGCAACATTAAGTACAGAATGAGAATAAAARTAGAAAAGTCGTAAAAGACAAAGCAAAATGCCAAAGCACATATAAAAACGGCTGGCGAAACCAACAAAAGGATGAAAAAAAGAAAACATTAAAGGGTTTACGGAAAATGGCGAAAAGAAATGTTCATAAAAAAACAGCAACTGTCTGAAGAGGAGAGTGTACGCGAGACGTATGCATACCACAAAACCCATACACACTCAAGATTTGCAGGTTTTCTTGGACACAAGTAGCTGTGGTCCACAAAAATATTCACTTAAAAACAAAATATTGAAATAAGAGCACACAAGATGCGGCTTAATGTAAAATGGCAGGGACCAATTTAGGTGATTAACTTAGTTTTTATAGAATGGAGCGACTGAAAGAGTATGCATATGAAGAGACGCAGAGCTACAATTGCTATACATATGTCGCTTGCGCCTAATTTTCGTAAATATTTTAGTTGTTCATATCAAATCGAGCAGTTTTTTCTTGAACGCTTTTACAACGAACGGACGGTAAATCTGTTTGTGTGTATGTGCTTTTCATAATGTGAAAGAGACCCTTAGGGCAATATACATTATTCCAGCCTGCTATTAGCTGCACGTACAGGCAAAAAAAGCCGTCAGCACGCACTCAGCATTTCATCATGAAGTGCATATGTGTAGTGTTGTGTGTGTGTGAGTTGGTGTGTTCAATTATTGTGATTATCATAGCTACTTGTTGTTTGCGGCTCTTCTAGGTAKGTATGTATGTTGGCCACATTGCGTTTCCCCAGAATCAACAGCCAATTGTCGCAGTTATTTTGTGTTGCTTTGTGCTTTTCGACTGAAGAGGTTCCCAGGAGACTTTTTTGCAGGAGCAGTTCAGTCAAGCTAATGCACAAAAGGTGTTCTTCAAGTACGCAAGAGGGCCTAATCGTATTCGAAAGTGTACCTTTTCAGTGATAATGCGATTTTTGTTTTTGAAAAAGCTTGTGCAACCTAAAGCATACTTATACCTAGCGGTCGATTTTTTGGGCGAAATAGTATACAATACGATATATAACAAGTCGATAAAACTAACTGTCAAACTTATAAACGTTTATCGATAATTTATCGATAAAAATAGTGCTTACATACATATATCTCGATAGTTGCTAACTATTTTTAGTTAAACTTTCTCATGTACTAAGTAGCTAATTTTATGTAATTCAAACTATTCACTAATTTCTCTCTTTTTTCCATGCCACACACACACACACCCACAGATGGACTTGGCGACCGTACCACCGGAGCTTGAAGAGCTCCTCATCTGCAGCTGTTGCCATTTACCCTTCAACGATAACGACGCGCTGCCGAAGCTATTCACGTGTCGCCACTACTTCTGCCTCAAATGTGTCAATTCGTTGCTGCGCGAAGGCAGCGATGAACTCTACTGTGTACACTGCTGGAAGCGTACCGAACTGCAGGGACCCGAGCCACGTACCGACAGTTTACCCACCTACAATGCGATTTTATATCTCACACAGAATTTGACTACGCTTAGTTTTAAAATGAAATGCGGCGAACGTGATCGGCAGCAGCGTTCGTCGTCGATTGCATCGAACGGCTCCACCGGCGCGCTTAGCGGGAGCGGCGTTATTAATAATACTGGCAATAACAACAACAATAACAGCAACAATAGCGATGGCAGCAATGGCAATYTGAGTAGTATTGGCGTTGGCGTTGGCGTTGGCAACAACAACGCCAACAATTTGGACAAATTGAAAATGACCGAAAACTGCATGACGCATGCCATGCCCAACACATTGTGGTGCAGCGTGTGCAATATCTTGCTTTGCCGCGCCTGTGCCGCCACCGAGGAGCATCGCGCACATTTGGTGAAGAATAAAATCGAAGCCAAGGAATCGCTGCACTCGGACATATCAAAAGAGCTGCTCGGCATGCAGAAGACGCTGAACGATGTGCAACATTTGTTATTGAAGCAACGTGATTTTCTGCTCAAAATATTGGAGAGCTGCACCACGCTCAAGACACAAATCGAGGCGGAGCTGCTGAATCATATGCCTACTTTGGAGATTTCCGAAATTCGTGAGAACCTATGCAAGGCGCGTCTTTGTCTCGAGATACTTGACAAGCAGACACCAGCTGAGGCTATGAAGCTCTATGCCACACTGCAYGCCGAGAAGCAGCGGCTCATGGCCAAGTATCAGGAGATGTTCCTGCAATGCAAACTGGACGACATGATACGCAATTGTGGCTATGTCTTCGATTTCGATCTTATCAAGCAGGCACTCGTACAGATGCATAATTGTGTGCTCAATGGTGGCAATTTGGATAACTTCGGTGTRGGCTCGGTAATTGGCGGTCTCAATGGCATAACGACGRCTACTCATCAGAAYCCGGTTTTGCTTTTGGCCAATTATTGCATTTCACAATTGTATTCGCGCCACATGTTGTTGTTGAAGCAACAGCAACAACAGCAGCAGCAACAGCAGCATGCACAACAGCAACAACAACAACATTTGTTGTCCAACGGTTTGCTCACMTCGATGATATCGCACGTGAGTCTCTCCACGGGTACTAACGGAAATTTGCCCACTTCGAATGCCAATTTCACGCATGCAACATATGCACAGGCATTGCAACAGAATCAACCGTCGAACAACAGCGTTGCACAACAACAAGCCAACAATCCAACTTCGCCCGTACACAAGACTTACGCCGACATCATTGCGCTCTCGAGCAAATCTAATGCCAGCCTGCAAACCGCTCAACAGCAGCAACAACTGTTGCAACAACAACAAGCCGTAAGCAGTAGTTTCTCYGAAATCGCACCAATTGGCACACCAGCMACAACATCAAACACATCAGTCGTGGTTGGCGCACAACGCAACAACACTTCACATCTCTTTTCCAGCAGCGATCTCAACGGTTTAGGTCTAAGCTTATTGCATCTGCAACAACAACAGCAGCAGAGTGCTTCGAATACACAACAACAAACGAAATCAACATTACTACTTAACCCCAGCATACACGTCTATCCCATCTACTATTTTAACATCGAAATCAATGGGCAGCACTCCGGCCGCATCCTCATAGAGGTGCGCAGCGACGTAGCGCCGAAAATGGCGAAGAATTTCAATGCACTGGCCACTCAAGAGCTCGGCTATGGTTACAAGGGTTGTCACATTTTCCAGTGTTGGGAAAACGAGAGTATTATTACGGGCGATTTTGAATTAAATAATGGGCGGGGCGGACGCTCGGTATACGATGAGGGCTTTTTTATGCCGGACGACACAAAGATACTAGCCATACGCGGTTCGGTTGGCATGAGGCGAAGTCAAAAGCGWCACGATAATTTAGGTCTCGTTGGTTCACAGTTCCGTATAATTTTAAGAGAAATGCGCGGTTTTACAGGCATATTTGCATTTGTGATCGAGGGTTTGGATTTGGTAGAGAAAATATCACAAACCGGCGATGCAACTGGTAAGCCACAGAGTAGTGTTGTCGTTGTCAGTTGTGGCAAATATCAGTTGGGTTAATTGGGTTAAGTGTCATAAGGGTCAGTAGTAGGGGTTCGATTTTAAGAATTTACTTTGAATAATGGGCACTTTTTAATAAGCGTACGATAGAAAATTACATTAAAATAATATGACCTATGTAAATCATATTTTCAGAATGTTTGAAGATTAGAGCGGGTTTGAAGACACTATTATCAGATTAAGGATCGGGATGGTGATTTTGGTACATTCATAAAAGTTGCTTGAAACTTAATATTATAGAATGCAAGCAGCTTTCGAAAACGTTACTTTTTAAAGCTTTACTTAATTATTAGTTTAAATTTTATTAAATCCAACTTTTGTTTTGGAATTTCGTACAAATTCTCATCAAGCTCCTTACTTAAATTCATTTTGATTAATCGATATATGATATGTATAAAATTTATAATTTTTACTGAATTAATTAAGTTTATAATTAAAAAAATCAGCAAAATCGTTTGTGGCGTTTCGTCTAACTCACTATATCCACCGTCTATAAATATATATAAAAAATTTATTTAAAAAGGAAAAACTCCTTTTAAATGGTGTTTCAAACTCACACTCACTCACAACTAAAAACTCGAACTTCGAAAACAAATGTGAAACAAAACCAATAAATATCATCAGGCTTCAACAAGAAGTTGAATAGTGAGAAGGCAAAAGTCGAAATTAATGGATGTGCGTTTAAACATTAAGCTAGTTTTAAGCGTCCGCTCATCAGAGTGCTAAAATCTGTAAAATGCCGTAATCGATAGTAAGAAAWCAAAGACACACACACAACCTTTAACTCGAAAATTGTTGCTGTAACCCTCTTTTCTAAGGCATTCGTTGAAACAGTCAATAAGAGAATTTTTTTCGAAAAATTTTCACTAACCAATACTTTGGGGTAATCAAACGATATGATTTGACTAACTAATTGAACACCGTGACATACAACAAACAAAGAACAAAGTGAAAACGTCTAGGGAATTTCTACTCATGGAGTAGTAAGCGTCATTTTAGCACTTTTGTAGAGCGAACAAAGCAAAAACAAAAACAAAAAAACGAACAAAATTTAACGATGAATAGTTAAAATTTACGGAGAATCCACGAAAACTTAGCTACATAAGGGCACATACTTGTAGGTTGCTTGTAAACCGGTTAACGGAACCGGAAATGAAGAAAATAAATAGGTAAATTGAGCCAACAACGCAATAAAACATAAATGTGAAAATATATACGAAGAACTATGTAGTTATTTACATATATACATAAAAATAAAAAACAAATATATATATATATTATCTCGATGTGTAGCCTTGAAGTGTTAATATTAAAAGTAAACACATTCACACATACATAAAAGTGTATCAGATAAAACACTTAATATAAAACTACGCATAAAGACAGAAACTTATATACACACACACATATAGATAATATAACGCAATATATAAATATATGTTAGGCAAAACCAAAATCATTACACATACATATGTTAAACGTTAAACTTAAATGTCCAAGAATTAAAAGAATGAGGCGCATAAAAATTAAAGAAAAATAATTTAATGTGAAATTAAATATTCAAGATATAGAATATTATAGTAAACTATCCAGTATTAAACGATTAATTCCATGATGACGTTTAGAGAGCATTCAAAACAATGCAGAACTTTAGCAACAAAAACATACTTACAAATATACCAAAACATAGTTAAATAGTATAGTATATATTTACTTAAATGCAACAAAGAAGAAACAAAAAAATWAAATAAAAACAAAAACACAAACAATGTTGAATATTGATATTGATAAATACATTTGTCTGAAACATTTGTGTTTTAAAGCGCTACAAGTGTACCTGTCTTCAAAACGTTATATTAAAAGTCTTGCGAAGAAAAGCCGAAGTACTATAAGCCAAAACAGAAACAGAAACAGAAACAGAAAAACAAAAAGTCATATATGTAGAGCAAAAGCAACAACTTTGGCAACTTATACATATACATATATATAAATAAATATATAAATATATATGTTAAAGAAGCATGACTAAAGAATCCCCTTCAACATTTTAAATATACGAGATTTCATACTAAAACTATATTCTAACTTTACTATCTAATTAATTTTTGTACACCACGGTTTTTTGTGCTAACAACTTTACGAAAGAATAGTAGGAAATGAAGAAACAAAAAAAAAACAAAAACAAAATATGTACCTACAAACCTACAAATACACGTAGACAAAAATTAAAAACAATTTAGAATCGATGCACACGTTTATGAGTAAAGAAAAAGAGGAAATTCCCAGCGATTTTGAAAGTCATAATTTTACGAAATGAAAAACTTCAGCAGTTGTTGATATGAAAATCAAAGACATAAACAGTCTTAAATACAACAAAAACATGACTACACTAATCATTCATACTTACAAAAAGATGTATGTTTACATTTCGTCAGCCATGAAACGTTTATCGTGAAAACTAACAATAGTTATCGAAAATAATCGATAACAACTTTTACAAAACTATATTTAAGTTTTTTWATGTCGTATGATAGTCAATACCTTWTTTCTATACAACTCACAGCATAAATCATTTTATCGAATTTATAACCATCGAWTTCCCTTACAATAACATAAATATTATTATATCGAAAAGGATTAAAGTTATCGCTGCAATAAATCAAAATAATATTTTCAATCAGTCAGCGAATTAAATTGATGAAAATTYCTGCAGTTAGCAAGCCAGTTGTGGTGCAATAGAATCTAACTGTAATCGATTATCGATATCGATATTCAACAATATCGAAGACGATTCAGTGATGTGGACCTAAATTGAATATTTCAAGTATTTTTCTTCGCAAATAAACGAAATTTAAATGCTTATGGAATGTGTCTAATTCTGTTTTCAAAATCCTAACATTTTTTACTGTTGCACTGAAAACGTTTGGTATTTATATTCTTTCCATTACACAATTATTATGTTTACTGTTTGAAAACATATCTTTTAGTTATCCATATTATTAAATAATTTTGAAGCAAATATTAATTTCATAAGGGGAACAAGTAATTGTACTAAATTGTATGACTTCAAAAATTAATATCCGAAAATTTCAATTCTCCGGAAAAATGTTTCACTTATATTGTGCCGGATACAAGGTTTATTGAGGATAGCACAAGGCTACACTTTCATAAAGAGATCTGTGTGACCTCGTACTTCTTCTGACAACTTCTGATCCTACCAAAAGTGAATATAAATAGACAACTTTATGAAAGTGTTAGGTTTTGAAATTTAACTATACTTTTCTGCTGTGAGTTTTAGAACAAATTACTTAATATTTATTATTTCATTAAAAATATATATAAGTATGGTCTGTAGACAGTGAAGTACAGTAGTGGAAATCGATTTTCCCTTGTTATTATTTTCTTATTTAAATCTTAACTCGAAACATTGGTATGAAATTAGTAGTATGTATTTAGGTTAAAACTACCTATTTTAACAAAAATATACAACTCGGTAAGAAACAGAGAATACAATTGACTCAGAACTGCGAGCGATAATCTTTTTATAAAGTTATGGCGTGATTATAATAGATGAAGCATTTTTAAACGCAAACACGTAACTAACCTTAACTTAAACTTAAACACCGCAAAAGAACAGTACTACATATGTATGTGCTAGGTTTCTAAATGTACTTAATTTAAGGTGGCAACTTAGTTTCATTTTATTTAATTTTCTCCCATGGTAAATGCTCAAAAATGCAATCAACGAAATTAGCTGCCAATAAATATGAACGAATTTCAAGGCTTTCTAGAAAACTAAAATTACGAACGGCACATTTAAGCAATTAAGTTCTCGAACCCAAGTTTTTCCGTTTCTTTTGTTTTTCTTTCTAGAGAAAATCTCTTTTGCGTGTTAGGCCGTATTCATATATTAAATGGTGCGTTTAAATCGAATTTCTAACGTAAAATCGTATTTTAATTACTAATTACATTTAACTGATGCATAATCTAATGACATATCCAAATTTGCAAAGAATTGAGTTACAACAATTTGCGTAAACAAAAAGGAGAGTTAAACACTTTGCGACAGTCACTAAGAAATGCGCTAGAAAAGAGCAAACAACTCAAACTCTTCAAGAAATACTACAATTGCTATTCATTTAACGAAGTAAGGTAACCAAATGARATGATTAAAATCGGAAGATCGAAGAAAAATTATATTAAATGCGCTTGAATTACTTTCGAAATTTACACAAGTAATTTTTAATACACAGCCAAGTGTGTGAACTTAAAATATATGTATTTATCAAACGAAATTATTRTTATTCATTAAATCATTTGTTTAATCGACTTTATTGTGGCATAGAAAATTAACTAGATATCAAAAGAACATTGGAAATTATAGACAATTACAACAAAAAATTCGTAGTGCAAATATGCATATATTCGTAACGACTTAACTTAGCAAAAGACAAAATGAATAAATAAATAAAAGAAACAAATAATGCAAAAATACAAAAGAAAGTATAAACAGCAAAGAAATTGCAAAGAAAAATTACGCTTTAAATGTTGTGTGATTACATTTTAAGACAATTAACTAATCAATTGCATAATTTTACGCAATACGTCGTTTCATATAACCAAAGAGCAAAAATTAATTAAATCAAATACAAACGCTATTTATTAACTCTGTATATTTAGGGAGAATATATTTTTTTCATATATAGTAGCCGATTTCTTTTTACTTAGTCATAAGTGTCGAAAATTCTGTGCGAAAAAGGTGCTTGTGTGAATGTGAGAGGTTGGTGAAAATTGTTGAAAAACTCATAATGCTTTGAAGTCATCTAAAATGAACCGCTGAACAACAAATATCATTAAATATATTTGCTTCTATTTAAACTCAAATTTTACTAAGTGCGGCATGCATGCAAGAAATGGATTTTTTTTTTTTTTGTTTAGCAACGCGACGCTTAAACAATTTACACTTATTTTAACGACAATCATATAATTTATAGAATCAAATGGAAAAAACTGAGGTTGTCACTAATTTTGACAAACAGTAAGAGACGAAAGGAATTAATGGGGTTCAATTAAACAATGAAATTGACTTGTACTTTGTACTTCTTTTGGTGATCATACACGTAAGGAAAGCAATTGAGCGACAGCCATTTAAGAAAATWACAATTTTATACATGATCTATTGAACATTTACATATTT